ATATTTGCATTTTAATGAAGTAACTTAAGATGACAAACTGTATCTTTGACGGTCATCTACATGTAACAACACCTGTTAAGTCTCTTTCAAAACATTTCTTTGTGTCGTAGAGACCAAGCACTTATGAGCAAACACAAATGCATCCCATTATTCCTGCATGCATTTTCCATGTCTGTGTCTGTGTATGTGTGTGTGTGCAGGTGCCAGACAGACCCCTGTGATGAGTGTGAGTACCAGGGTCAGTCCCATGCTGTGGGAGACAGATGGAGGTCAGACCCCTGCCAATTATGTCACTGTCTGCCCAACCTTACAGTGCAGTGCTCCCTCTACTGTCCATACGCTGTCAGTGGATGCCCACAGGTAAGAATAGAATTGTGTGTGACTCATGTGCATTTACACATTTCTGTAAACACACTTACTGTATGTGCTTGAATGTGTGCCCATGTTTTATGGAAATATTGTTCACTACATTGGTACATTTGCACATTTATTTGAGGATGTATCTGTGTGTGCCTTTAATTCATCTGTGTTTCAATCTTATCTCATGTAAACAATCTAACCCACGCACTCCCCGTCATGATCCACAGCTCTGCTTCCTCTGCATCCTTTGCTTTTCCTTTACATAGTTATGTCCCATAGCAACTCCACCACACGTGTGACTGAGTCAAAGGTTGAATGTTGGTTTGTTTGTGCAGGGCCAAAGTCTGGTGCTTGGAGAGGAAGACAGGTGTTGTTACTGCCAAGGTAAAATCATAACTGTTTGTCATTCTGCACTGATTAAATGTTGACTTTTTTAATGGTGAATAAAATGATTGGCATTCAAAAATTATACACAAGTAACTGCACTCCATGGTTACTAATGTTCACTAATGTCAGAGATGACGCTAATCTAAATAAATGACAAACACTTAGAATCACCCTTTGCCCCCTACCACTTCTTGTGACCACAGACATATTTCACATGTTTAGAAGATTTTAATTTTTTTTTTACTGTATCTGTTAAAGAGAACACTACCTTCGGAGTCCCAAATTATTTGCCAGTATATGTAAAGAGTACTGGTAGTAGTATTCCTTCTTTGTATGAGCTTAAAAATAGATTAACGAGCTTTTGAAGATGAAGAAAATAAAAGTGATAAGTAAAATAAAAACTAAATAAAGATCCTGTTCATTTAGTCCCTCAACAACATTGCAGAACTCCAAATATGAGGTCCAATTCATTGTTACACACATTGCAATATTAAAGTGAGTGCATTCTGACATTAATCTTTTTATTCTACAACACCCCTGTAGGAGGAAATGACACCATTCTTGTGACAATTAGCCCCGTCACTATGACCTCCAAGCCAGAAGAGGGCACTATACCTCTGGTTCCCACATATCCACTTCCTCCTGGAGGTTAGTGTCTTTTTCATATGATCAGTTGGTCATGCAGTTTCACAAGTTAGAGCATTTGGGCTTTCATTTCTGAATCTATAATTAATGGTTAATTTATTTCCACTCATTGTAATTTTCATCAAATCTCACCTTGTTTACTCTTTTGTTCAGATGAGTGTTGGTCTCCTCTGGGTGTTCAGTTTCTCCCAGCTTCCAGTTTCAGTGCCTCATCACAGCAGACTGGTCACCCACCTGAGGCAGGTCGCCTCCATGGATGGGACCCCCATAGGGACCTCCAGGTACACCAAGCCTAATGATATATTTATTCAATACGGCCAGATGAATCCAGATGAAATGCCCTTGAGCAAGTTCCTAAATCCCCACATGCTCCAAGACTGCTGTTCTGTAGCAGACTCTGACCTTTGAAAAAAAATAAAAACAAATACATTTTTATTAATATCACTGTAGCAAGGCCCACATTAAATATTTTTAACTAAAGAAGACAGTTATTCAAACTGGGGTGAGCAATACAATGGTTTACAAGTTGCTGACATTAGAAATGTAAAACATTTGAATACATGCTTTTCAAAACTGCTCTTTTCACACTTGTCAGGTGCTCAGTATTCTGCTTTTGACCGCTCAATAGCTGACATTAGCTCCTTGGCCTTAAAGTTCTTGTGTAAGGGATGCTTCATGGTAGATTTCACAGTCCTTCTTTGATTTAAAATACCAACACTGAACACTGTTCCTTGTTTCTTAGCCATGCTAAGCTATGCTTATTGGATGGATTGACATACATTAGGCACAGACATTCAAGGTCTGCTAGGTATATATCTCAATTTATTTGATGGTTCCTCTGACTGACCCTCTAGTGTCACAAGCAGCATTGAGTGAAATGTCGTCGTGACCACTTCCATCAGCTGTACTTTGTTGTGTTTAGTGTTAATTAGCAATAATGTTATCATGCTAACATGCTAATCCAAGATGGTACATAACCTGCTAAATATCTGTATGTTAACATTGTCCTTGTGAGCATGTTAGCATACTGAAGCTCAAAACTGCTGCTGCAACACAAGCATGAGGTGTAATCAGTCAAACCTTTACCTGCAGGGCTGGAGTCCAGAACCTGAGGAGTACAAGGACCTACCACAACGGAGCCCTGAGGGACACACTAGCAACACACAGAGCCCCTATCTACAGATAGACCTGCTGAAACCATACAACATTACTGGTAAACACTAACATTCATACAGGGGCCTTAGAACAAATGGAGATGAGTGTACTTGGTACTAAAAGGGAACTCCTATGTGAGATTATCTAATGTGTATCAGTAAAATCAATGAAATGCTATCTCTCTAGGTGTGCTAACTCAGGGTGGTGGTGTGTTTGGCACCTTCGTGTCCAGCTTCTACCTCCAGTTCAGCCAAGATGGCAGACAGTGGTACACTTACAAAGAGCTAGTCACTGATGCCCGGCCGAGAGCCAAGGTTAGACATCAAACCAAGTCCGTTAAACTGTACATCATATCACATATGTATCGAAGGCTGTTTGTCGTTGCTTTTTCTGATCTTGAAATTGATGGATTAACATTCTCCTGTCAGGTTTTTCATGGTAACCATGATGATCGAGGGGTGGCAGAGAGCCGACTAGACAGGACGGTGTCAGCTCAGTTTGTCCGCTTGCTGCCACATGACTTCCAGAATGGCATCTATCTTCGACTTGAGATTATGGGTTGTGGAGATGGTTAGTTTAATGGTAGTTTGCTGGTGTTACATGATTTTGTGTACAAATGTGATTCTAAAATGCTCTCCTCTCCTCTCTGCTAGGTTACCGCTGGTTGACTACCCCTACTCCTCCCTCCCCAGTCTCCCCAGTAGGTGGCTGCAGAGAGAAGGAGTTCCAGTGTAAAAATGGTCGCTGTGTGCCAGCAGGTCCACTGGGAGTTGTCTGTGATGGGGTCAATAACTGTGGGGATGGATCTGACGAGATGTACTGTGGTGAGCTTTTCAACCTAACACAATGTTGTTTATTTACTCTATAAGTACCATGCATTTTATATTTTTTAATGGGATGTGGTGAAAAGGAAAGTCACTTACACTCTCAACTGCCATCTTTTGCCTTGCATTTGATCCTGGTCGTTTTAGTTTTCTTTCATGAGCTTTCTAACTCACACATACCAAAACTAAAAGCCATCATTCTCACTTAGTCTGACCATTCCCCACGTTCAGGTACACAGCCATCCCCTACAGCCACCAGTCCACGCAGCTGCCCTGCTGGTCAGTTCTCCTGCCCCCCACCAGGGGGCTGCATTGAGGTAAGGCATCGGTGTGATGGGATTCCCCACTGTCCCAAAGGGGAAGATGAAATTGGCTGCCATCCCCCCGACAACATCACTACCCAGTCAGACAGGTGAAGGGCATTATTATTATTATTTATAGCAGCGGTAGTTATAGTTGTGCTAATTATAGTATTAACAAATACATTTTGTTAATCCACTCCTGAATTCTGCTTCTTACTTTTTGTCTCATCTCTGTTTACTGAGCTCTGCTTTCAGTGTCACAAACTCTTTGTGTTCAGAAGAAATCAAGAAGGATTTTAGGTACTTTCTCCTCTTTATTGTTGTGTGCTAATTCACAGACCACACACACCCACTCCTTCTCCTCTCCGGACTCCATCAATGGCTGCTGTCACTCATCCTGCTGTAACACCAACGGTAAGAAAGCACTTCATTTAGCCATGAGTTCCTCCAAATTCTGCAGAAAAAGCATCGTTTTAGAAAAAGATTTAGCAGTGATGACTAAAAAAGCATGTGATCATCTTGAATGGCCTTATTTGTTAAAAGTATTTCCCACCCCTCATTGCAATAGTAATAAAACAGCTTGTAGACAGAATTAGACAAGACCCAAAGATTACAACTGTACAAAGTTACATAGGTGCTATCAATGTACACTTAATTTATTTTCTAATGTTTTTACAGGGTGGTGGCCCAGGATATCGTGGTAAGTGCGTTTAAATTTGCAAGTTTTACAGTCCTGACAAAAAAAGTTCTTGTCGCTTGGGTTTACAAAGTGACCTTAAGTGCCCTCAATATATATGTCTAAATCGAAATTTTTTACAGAATGGGGCTTATTTTCCAACCCCAACAAAGCTTTTGACAATTACTGTTCTTGGATTGGCCAAACGAAACTGCTTGAAAAGCATTCTTAACGGTTCACAGCTTGGTAAAAGCCAAACTTGAGTGTCAGTTTTTGCAAAGACAAAAGTTTCTTTGTCGCCTTGTTTTCATATAGGCAAACCAATCCTAGTTACAAAGCCTCAACCTGTGATCAATAAAAAATTCATCAAATCAATTTTAGGTGGGGTGTGATATAAAAGAAAACCCAGCAAACACCCAGACCTCACACAAAACTGCAAAAATTGACTTTTTGACAACATTTGCCTAAGATTTCACCTGCAGACCCAAAAGGTTGATTATCAAGAGCTGAAGACCAGATTCCACTTGGCTTGGAGGGTTGGCTGACACCTTTCAATGTGGTCTTTCGCGTCAAGTACAAGGAATACGAAAAAGGATTTTGAGAGATGGATGTTTTTGACAGCCGGGTCGGCGACCCGCAAGGAACAAACTGCCTCAGGGGACAGTTTGTTGGGCTCGAAATCTAGGCCCAAGCCCTTTTCCACTGCAGCAGAAAGGCTCCCACCGGGCCTGGTCACCCTTTCAGTCCCCTTGTCAACCAAGAACGTTGGTAGAATTCTGTCTCGAAATGGCCTCATGGTCGAATTCAGTGCCCCGAAAACCAGCACTAACCAAAAAGGCATTTAAAAAAACGTGTGGGGCATTGCAAAGGCTCACAGCCTGTTAACAGGGATGGACGCTGGAACAAAGTGGTCCCAGAAGGGGTGGGATTTTCTTTCAGATGGAATTCTAGGTTAATTACATCCCAAAGCTGACCGGCAAATATTGGACCTATGGGAAAACCCGCATGGGAATCGGAGATTCCACAGAGAAAACAGTTAAAGTTTTGGTGGCGGGAAAAAAATCATGGCTGGTTTACATCCAAGTATGGTGTGGCGGAAGATCGCCGAGGGTGGCACCCCCCTTCGAAATAGCCTATATTCAAGAAGATTAGCTACCTCTTAAACTTCCCAACCATTAAAAAGGGGTCAAAATTTGCGGCAGGATGTGCTCCATCGCATTACTTCCATCTCTACATCAAAGTTCCTCAAGCGAAGAAGATTCAAGGTGCTTCCAGGACTGGCCAGCCCAGTTCACCAGACTGAAAACCCTTTCATTGAAGCATGGTCTGCGGTAGAATTGGAAAAGGGAAGCAGGAAAGGGACGAAACCCAAAAGGAATCTTGATGAAACTCTGGAGGCATTTTTGCTTATTTCCTGATGACCTTCAACAATAAATGTATGAAATCATTGTTTTAAAACAATGCGATGCGTCTTCAAGCTCATGGGAAGTTCATACAAAAAAAGGATATTAAATATGGATCTCAAAAGCCACCCCCACTACTTAATTCACTTGACTGTTATGCAACATATTTTTGTTTTGAGTAAATTAATTGTTCATTTATCAACATACTCTCTGTAGGCGGACAAAACCTTTTGCTCTTGCCAAAAATCTGAACTTTCTTGTTGTTTTCATTAAAGAATCCAATCTTTCTCAGTGAAAGCAAAAAATTTAATTTTAGGTAATTTAACATATCGTTGGGAGGTTTCTGCCTTTCATATTGAGGCCATTTCTAAACAATGGATTAATTGAAAGTTTCAGCGTTATAAGTGTTGTTTTCTACAAAAAAAATGGATTTAAGTGAACAGACTTTTGTCAGGGACTGTAGATGGATTTATTTTTGTGCTTTGAAATGAACAGCAGCCTCTGTTAATTTTCTTATGCTGCAGCTAATATTGCTGCAGAGCAAATTTGTTAGAAGTGTTCAGTTTGCCAAACTGGGTCTTTTGGACTATATTAAAATTCATCATATTCTGTAGGCATCTGCTCTTCTCCCCTTGGACTGGAGGATGGAAGAATTCGATATGGTCAGCTGACCTCATCCTCACATCGTGAGAACAACCCTGCTGATGCTGGGCGACTAAACATTGTCCCTAATGTGTGAGTGATCTGATCTTTGTATGGTTGTCGACCCTAAAGCATATATTAGCCTGACCATTTGGTATGCTTATCTGCATGGACATAAAAGCCCTAAAGGTGTTGCTGTTAAGAGAAAGTAGCAAACACAGATTATATCATTTTCTGTACAGTCAGGTTATGGAGCCTGGATGGAGCCCCTTGCCTTCAGATCCCCAGCCATATTTTCAGGTGGACTTCCTGGAGCCCACATGGGTGTCAGGGGTGGTGACCCAGGGCAGTGAACGCATGTGGGGTTACCTCACCAAATACCGCCTGGCCTTCGCCTTGCACAGCAGCCTCTTCACAGACTATAGTGAGAATGGGAAGCCTGGTGGCCCTGCTAAGGTATTTGGAAGGACATTTAGACATGGACATTCATATTTAACATCAGGTTTTATCTGCATTTACATATATCCTCATATTTTATGAATGTGTTCATACATGGTAGAGAAAAAGAAAAATCCAATGTTTTTGTCATTGAATGTACTCATGTAGAAGTGTCCTCTTGGTTGTGGTCTAGGTGTTTGAGGTGCGAATGGTGGGCAGGAGCCCTGTAACCCGCTCGCTCAGTCGGCTGGTCAGAGCTCGCTACCTGCGCATCATCCCTGTGGAGTTCAGACACACCTTCTACCTGCGTGCAGAGATCCTAGGCTGCAGAGGAGGTGAGGAATAACAACAACAGTAACAATCAAAATTCTCAGGACCCAGTTCCTCTTGCATACTACTACAGAACTACTTCACATCAGTGCTAACATGAAACAACCTTTCCTTCTGCTCTTTTAGATGAGCTGGTGACCCCCAGCAGTGTAACCACATCTCCCTCTGGTGTTGGAAAAGTAACTGTGCAGCGCTGTAATCCAGGCCAGTTTGCATGCCAGCACAGTGAGGAGTGCGTGTCTGTCTCTGTGCTTTGTGATGGTCGACCAGACTGCAAGGACCACTCTGATGAGATCAACTGTGGTGAGAGCTAGAAGACAAACAATCGGTGGTGTGGCTTGAATAGCTAAAAATGATTCATACTCTTTTATTTTTTTTTTCCATGTCTTTATTTATGTCTTATCCTCCTCGTGCTCTTCTTCAGGTACGGCTCCAACCAGAGGTTCTCCAGGGCTGCAGAACCAGACCACCTCCACGGGGAGACCAGGTTTCCACAGAGACAGTACAACAGGTGCGCCAGGCCTTCATACCAGCAGGTCCCAAGGTGGACTTCCTAGTATGGCTAGCCCAGGGGTCACAGGTCATCCTGGTCTTCACCACACCACAACCCCCCATTCTGGAAGACCTGGGTTGCAAACCACAAAAGGTTAGAGACACAACATCCTTGCTAGTTATCCTACAACCAGACATGACCGATGGACTAAGACTTTATACAGAATAGACATATATTGTAACCTTTATTTTCGTTTACAGCCACGTGGATTGCTACAACCCCCCATGATGGTGGCTTACCCAGAGTGCTTTGCGTGGAAGGCCAGTATGCATGCCGTTCATTTGGCTGTGTTGACTCGGCGCAGGTGTGCGACAGCAGACGGGACTGTTTGGACGGGTCAGATGAAGAACGTTGTGGTATGCATCAACAACCTGTCAGGGGACAGACAAGTGGAAATACAGAAGAATGGAATCAGAAATACTTTTTACAAACTCTGTCAGTTTAAAGAAATTAGAATTGATGATATCGTTACCATATTGAAGATATATAGTGTCATGTATGCACACATGCAAAATATGATCTGAAGTAAATCTTTTGGAATAAATAATAATTTATGTGTTATTCCTGGAAAAACTTTAATGTCTTATCAGGCACCACAGCCAGACCAGCAGTGACTCCACAGGGCACACCGGTGCCTAGCCCGTGTTCTACCAAGCAATTCCCTTGTGCCAGTGGGGAGTGCGTTCACCTGGACCGCAGATGTGACCTGCAGAGGGACTGTGTGGATGGATCAGATGAGAAAGACTGTGGTAAGATGTATTCCCACCTTAAAAGAGGCAAAAAGTCAGAAAAAAGAAATACTGATATTTTGGTTAAATCCTTTTATCGCTCCTCTCCTGTAGTGGACTGCATCATGTCCCCGTGGACAGCATGGAGTGCATGCAGTGTGTCCTGTGGTCTGGGCTCCTTGTTCCGACAGAGGGACATACTGAGGGAGGCTCTGCCCGGAGGGGCCTGTGGTGGAGCTCAGTTCGACAGTCGAGCCTGTTTCCCTCGAGCATGCCCAGGTCTGTTTCCTGAGCCTGATGCCAACCAGGATGCATATTTCACATTATCTAATGGTTATCTCAATGTCACTCTCCCCTGTCTCCTCTTGTAGTGGATGGTCATTGGTCAGAGTGGACAGAGTGGTCGGAATGTGACGCTCAGTGTGGTGGTGGTATCAGGCAGAGGAACAGAACCTGCTCTGCTCCTCCTCCTAAGAATGGTGGGCGGGACTGTGAGGGCATGACCCTGCAGAGCCAGAGCTGCAACAGCCATCCCTGCTCCAAAGACATAGGCACACAGACAGGTGACTCACAATCTGTCAGACTGTAAATTCTGTTGTTTCCTTCATCCTTGAGGATGGTGGTCCAATACTCTTGTCTTGACCACCTTGATAATTACATTTCTACATGATTAACTCTCCTAATTATGTCTGTGCCCTGCTTGGTTGTTCAGGATGTGTCAACAGCATGGTGCTGGTGACTGAGGCAGACTGCCAGGCTGGAAGGGTGGAGCCCTGTCCTCCTACCTGCTCACATCTCAGCTTGACCAACAACTGCACTGCAGCATGTATATCTGGTAGGACACACTGGAGGTGATGGGGTGTTGTGCAGAATAATGTCATTGTATGCTTTATAATGACATGTAAATATGAGACTGAGGTACTTTTTGGTAGTTTCTGAGACTGGGTGGTCTCCTACCTTGAAGTACAAACTTGTGGCCAGTCAGTATTCATTTCTACACATAATGCAAGTACATGATAATGGCTCTTTCATATGCTTGTGTAGTCATTGTGATAGTGGTCGAGATAAATAAAGTCATACTTTTTGGGTATTGTTGCCAAAATCAAACAGGCTTCTTGCTGTTCCACATAAATTAAACAAATAGGAGGACTAAAGAGTAAGAATAAATGAACCGGTCTTTGTTCCATTGTCTATTGAGTCCTTACTGTGATTCACTGGTTTTGCAATTTAATATGTTCTGTTAAATTGTTGCAAAAGCCTCAAACCTGTATTGAAGCAATGTCGGGATCTTTATTCTCTTAGATAGTATCCCACAAAGGCTCATTCATTGTAGCTGAAAGTCTGGTTAAGACCTTAATTCTGTCTCCTCCAGGGTGTCGCTGTCCTGATGGTCTGTACCTTCAGGGTGGGCGATGTGTGAATGCCAGCCAATGTGTCTGTCTCTGGGACAGTCAAACACTGCAGCCAGGAGAGAGAGTCAGGGACCAGTGTACCACATGGTGAGAGACAAGAGAATCATTCATTTGTTATGTTCTACTTTGAAAGAGAGCCTTGTTTTCATAACTGAGGCTATTTCTAGAACGCTATCTAGTCAGTTATGCGTAATTACTTTTAGTTTATTTTAATGTCATAAAACTGTTTTGTCTAATGTGTCATAATTTTCAGTTGTTGGAAAAGGTATTTTAAAAAATCACTCAGGTTTTTCCCAGTAATGTCACTGGACTGCTGCCTAATTGAGTGTTTCTATTGAAGAAAAAAATAGAAATGTGTAGTAATGCAGTTTTTGCCCCAATAGTGTTTGCAGAGATGGACAAGTAACCTGCGACACATCCAGTTGTATGGTGACCTGTCATTGGTCAGCCTGGTCGTCATGGTCACCATGTGATGTAACCTGTGGTCTGGGGCTACAGCAACGTTACAGGTGAGCCTGTTTAATTGAGTATATTTGTAAAGCACCTTACTCATTGTAACAGTCATACAACAGGCCTTATCTCAGCCTCATTCACTTTCCACAAGACCCCCTTTCCCCTTTAATTCTCAGAATCAGAATCAGAAATACTTTAATAATCCCCGTGGGGAAATTACTTGAAAGGTGGGTACAAGAAACAGGAAAAACAAGAGGAGAGGGGAGGGGAAAAAGCCGCTCCCAAACTCCTCTTTCCCCCTGGTGGTAACACGGGCACTGTGCCAGCGGGCACACAGCTGCCATTGAGAAGGTAGAAGCCCAAAGGCGCAATAGCAGCCGTTCGTAACAGCGGTGCAACACTGCCACCTCTGTGGAGGTCATGTCCCGAACACACCGCGGACACGCACCTCCGCTGAACCTCACACTCTTGCCTGCGTCAGTACACCATGCCCTCTGGAACACACACCTGAGAGGAAACAAAAGTGAAAATTGAATGGGGTTCAAAAAAAGAAGAAATACATGCCAATACAAAATAACCACAAACACAATCTATTATAGAGTAATATTTCCACACATATTACCCCCCATGGCTAGAGCTTGAGTAAAAGAAAACAATGATGAAGTATCCGTGCAGGGGTGGGAGTTGCAGTGCTCCGTCTGTATGGGTGTGGGCCCAGGGGCAGCTGTGCCCCCCATGCTGTGGGGAGGCGTGAAACTGCAGTATCTGCTCTCGTGCTTTGGAACATCCAGAGTCACACTCTGATGAACACGAGACCACGGTGACCACGCTGACAGCACCATTTCTGAAGATACAACTATAATAGCTTTCTTCTTGACCCTTAGACCATAATTTTGGGGAGAGTGGAGACACTGTGGTTTCTGTGGTGCGGCGTCTGTATTCTGTAATACCTGCAGTGTACATGGTGTACAAGGCTCTTGCTCCTCGTTGTCTCCCGTCAAGGAAGTATTCCAATGGTGACGGTGTGGTTTTTAGAGGGGTCGTGAACGTATGGCTTGGCAGCTGCGGAAATCGGCGTCTATTCCAACAATTGCATCGGTGACATGGTTGAAACATGTTCTACACTGCTGAACCAGGGGGTCCATTTTAACTCCATACTCGTCATCTGTAGCACTGCACAATTAAAGACAAGGTATCATATTCACCCACAAGATAATGAGTTATGCAAGTGATTTACAAAACTAGGATACTGCCTGAGAACGCTGAGCTATTAAAACGCCAGAAAGTTTCTGTAATTGTTGCTCATGCACATTAAGAATCTACAGTAAAGTGATAGAAGCCCGGCGTACATGCTATTAAAAATGAAGGGAGTTTGAACTGTTTATATACTCTGATAATTTATTTTGTGCAAGATCCAAATTGCAGCAAACACTTTGATTTATTAGGTTAAGTATAACTAACATTACCAAATGAATAAATGCCTTTGAAGAAGAATTTTGTGTTAAAGGACCCTAATGTCAGTTTGATTGTATTCTTGAAAAAAAACTACACTAGAGTTGGACAGAATTAGTGTGTAGCATTAGTGGATAACCAGGGAGGAGGGGCTGGAGCAGCGGTATCGACAGGAGTACTTGACTGGAGCAGGTTGGATTCTGAAGCAGCCTTCCAGTCTGGGTTTCATAAGTGAGACCTGCAGAAGACAATAGTGATAAATACTCTGTGCAAATCTGAATTAGTTAGTTGAGTGAGTATAAAAAAAACAATTGTCCAAAAAAGTCATTAAGACCTTAATTTATAACTTAAGGTAACATCCGCGATAGTGAAAACGAGTTCTATCCAGCAGCAAAGCGAGTAAATGAAAAAAAAAATAGAAGTGGAAAAGCATCCAGTTATATTGTTGGAAAGACTTTAATGGTGAGCAGTTACAAAATTAGAGTTTAAGGGTTTATTATATAGAATGGTTACATAAGCGTCACAAACAGAGTAAATAAGTGAAGTAATAGCGCTTCTTGTTGCCGGCTCTCA